CTGGTTATCCGACATGGAGGCGCGACAGGCGAGCAGGAGACCGGCCCCCGCTCCGCGAGCTGCGCCGGAGGAGGCGCCCAGTCCCGGGGCTGAAGGGTCGGCGGATGGCAAAGCCAAGAGCGCCCACTGCTGCGCAGGGGAGATCGGGAGGAGGGGCGAGGTCCGCCCGCCGCGCTGCTGCCGCTGCCGCCGCCGCCGCCTCCGCGCCTGACACCGAGCGGACTAGGGAAGGAGGACGAGCGACGAAGGAAGCCTGCCCTTCCAGCCGTCAGCCGCCGTCGCCGTGACCCCTGTGCTGCACCCGGCGCCGCCACCTGAACTCGGCCCCCTCGGTGCCAACCTCAAGTTGGGGAAGGAAAAAGAGGGAGAAGAGAACAGAAAATCCAACTGCGTAGATCTAGATCCATTCACACCTCCGCTACCGCCGCCATCTTCCTGCCTGGCCCACTATTTACCCTCCCCTCCCTAATCCCCTCCCCTTCTCCCCGCCCTTCCCTCCTCTCAGCCCTCCCCATTCCGTCCCGTCCCCCGCCCGGCGTCTGACGCCACACGTCCAAGGCTGGGGATCCCCCTCCCACACCCTACCTCCAGTCCACGCGGGGGACGACGGGTAAAAAAGTAGGCGGAGTGGAGACAGGAGAGGGCGGGATAGGAACGCTGCTGAGCGGCATTCTGGGAAGGACGCTGCTTTGTCCGTCGCGCGGCCTCCTGGGACTTGTAGTCGCAGTCTTGGGCAACTGGTGAGTGTCCTGTGCCGGGAAGTCTCCTACTCTTGAAGGTGGGTGGGCTTCGTTTGAAAGTGGCGTGTACTGTCTCCTCCGCCTTGCCTTTGTCTCTGCCTAGTGTATTTATGACGAATTGTCCCGGCTTTCGGGCCAGGGCAGGAGATTACTGTCGGGCGAGAATGGCAGGGTTGCATTCTATGGCGGCTTTCCGGAACTTCTTGGGGCTTGCCTGGGCAAAACTGTGCCGGCGCTTTCGCCTGAGGGACAGCGTGTGTGACCTGTCTAGTGACAAAGGGGTTTCTTTCCCCATAACCGGCAGTGTAAATCTCGATGATCTTCTTATCTTGCTCTTTAGAAGTTAAACTTCATACTTGGCGTTTTCCAGCTTTGAAAACTTCCTTGGTAGAGTTAGAGTTTTTGTTTTGTAGAAAATAATTTTGAGGTTGTCAGAACAAGTGACATTAGAAGAGTTTTAAATTAAAATGAGTATGTCAAGCGATAGCCTAAGGTACCTCTTTGCTATAAATGGGTATCTTTTTTGAGACCCAGGTTAACCTTTTTTACCTACCTACTCCTGAAACATAGGAAAGTTGCAATAGAACCTTTCTAATAAAAGAAAAGCCAAAGTGCAATAGTTTTATTGAATAACAAATGAGTAGGCACTAGAAAGATGGTGCCTTTGACGGGAAGAGCAATAGATCTAATGTCAATTATCTTTTTGCGTACATTGTAAAGATAACTTACTGTGAGACCTTTGATTTTGTAGTTTCATTCCTCTAGTTAACTACTTTTATATCTTGTCGATTTTCTT